AGTAGGGAGGTGGACAGGAAGTGGAGCAGCGGCGTCACAGGTGGAGGCCCGGCCCACTGTGCCACAGTGCTGGCCCCAACGCTGTCCTTTCGATACACAGAAGCTACTGATTTTGATGAAGTCTGATTCACCCATTTCCTCTCTTTTGCTGACTGTGCATGAATCCAGGATCACGAAGATTTCTTCCAAGAGGTTTAAAGTTCAGCACTTAGGCTGGCGTCTTAGCATCACTGATCTACTTGAGAAGCGGAGAGAGACCGGGAGAGGAGGAGAGCCGCTACCTCTGGTTTACCCTCCAGACGTTCACAAAGCGCCAGGGCCAGCAGGAAGCTGGGATCAGGAGCCGGAGCCAAGAACCAAACCCAAGTGTTCCTGAATGGGACGGCGCAGCCTAACCAGGCGTCCTGGCTCCAAGGCTAAATGCTTGCCCCTATGAATGGTTTTAAGCTTATTTTTTCCTTCAGTTTATACCTGGTGAGTATCTCCTGACAGACAGACAGACAGCTGAACTCAGGCACTTCAATACCTGCTTGCACTGTTATATGGTTATCTGTAAGGTTCTTTTTTTTTTTTTTTTTTTTTTTTTTTTTATTTTTTTTTGACAGGCAGAGTGGACAGCGAGAGAGAGAGAGACAGAGAGAAAGGTCCTCCTTTTTGCCGTTGGTTCACCCTCCAATGGCCGCCGCGGCCGGCGCGCTGCGGCCGGCGCACCGCGCTGATCCGATGGCAGGAGCCAGGAGCCAGGTGCTTTTCCTGGTCTCCCATGGGGTGCAGGGCCCAAGCACCTGGGCCATCCTCCACTGCACTCCCTGGCCACAGCAGAGGGCTGGCCTGGAAGAGGGGCAACCGGGACAGAATCCGGAGCCCCGACCGGGACTAGAACCCGGTGTGCCGGCGCCACTAGGCGGAGGATTAGCCTAGTGAGCCGCGGCGCCAGCCTATCTGTAAGGTTCTTTAACAGCAGCCGGAGTGGACGTTTGGCCTAGCTGTGCAGGATGTCCAGGTCCCACGTGAGATGCCTGGGTTCAAGTCCCAGCTCTGCTCCGATCCCAGCTTCCTGCCCCTGTGGCCTCGGGAGGCAGCAGGTGGATCCCTGCACCCACACAGGAAACCTGGACTCACTCCCTGCTCTCCACTCTGGCCCAGCCCAGACCCAGCTGCGGCAGGCATTTGGGGAATGAATCAGCAGATGGGAGTTCTGTCTCCTTGTTGCTCAAGTTAAAAAAAAAAAAAAAAAAAAAAGTCAAGGATACAGATGTTCACTGTATTCAAATTTTATAGAGGCTTAAAATCTTTCAAAACAAAAGTCTGAACGAATGGATACAGGAAAGAGCCTACAGCATTTTTGTCTCTCAAGTATACAACTGCTGGGTTCTCAGAAGCCAAGACACGCTCCTAAGCTAACCGGAGCTCAGGCCTTCACACGGCCTGCAAGCTGGTACGGCCTCCTCCTAACAGCCTAGCCTGTCCCCCAATTTCTTCCAGGAGCACCAACAGAGAAACACTCACCGGAAGGCTGCGACAATTTGGGATCTTCTCTACTTTTCACAACTGTGAGACCCACCACGTACGGCAAAGTCCTTTCAATGCCTGCGGTGCCCCTCGGGAACTGCTCCTCGGCCTCTACGTGCAGTCTCCCTCCGCCAGCCCCCTCGGCCTCCTGCTGCTCCCGCGAGGCCCCAGGCCTGCCCCTGCCCAGACACCTCTGCGGCTCGAGCCTCCCCTCTCCCAGGGTCCTGCTCCAGCAGCACTTCTCCGTGAGGCCCCGTGTCCCCAGCCTCCCCCACCCATTTCTGACTCTCCACTTGTTTGGGATGAATGAGCAGAGCTGTCCGAGTGGAGACCAAGGGAGAGCAGTCAGAGCGCAGAACAAGGAGATTGGGGGGGGGGGGCAGCCAGGGAAAGGTTTGCAACCCTGGTGAGCACAGAGCAGGCAAACCAAGGACACTGCTGGCTCTGACAGCCAGCAACCTCCGACCGTTCTTTTCTCTGCCTAGTCTATTCCACCCAGGAGACCTGGGGCTAAGACACTGACCATCCCCACAGGCCATAGTAACGTAGCCACAACGTGTTCAGTCACAGCAGACTCACAGTACCACTTAAAAAACATTATTTATTTGAAAGGCAGAGAGAGAGACAGACAGGTGATCTCCCATGCGCGGATTCCCTCTCCAAGTGCCTGCAACAGCCGTGGGTGGCCCAGGTCAAAGCCAGGAGCCAGGAATTCAATCCAGGTCCCCCGTGTAAGTGGCAGGCACACAGCGCCTGAGCCATCATTGGCGGGAAGCTGCCATCAGCAGAGCCGGGACTCAAACCAGGCCCTCTGATATGGAACGCAGGCGTCCCAGGTAGTGCCGAACCGCTGTGCCCGATGCCCCCCCCCCCACGGAGCCATGTTTTGTCTTGCTTTTGCTATATGAAGCGTGTGCTGTGAAGTCTGTTTTACATTGTTTCATATTTCAGTCTGTTTCGGTAAGCAGCATGCTTAGTAACTGAAGACTTGTTGGCAACAGTACTTTTCCATCTCCGCCTTTGATCAAAGTCCTCATGCATCTCTTTTCCCACTGAATTACCATTTGTGCTAGAATGACACTAACCTCCTTACAGTGCCTCACCGCCCTACAAATAAGAGACCGGCGAAGCCTAGTACCCAGTGGAAAATGGAGTCCTTAATCCCTTATTCCTTGCAAAACAGATGCCAACAGCCCTGCAGTGAAGGAAGGTTCAGGGTGCTCTAAGAAAACAAAGTGTGGGGCGGGGGCTGACCCTCTACCTCCGAGTCTACTTCCTGCTGCACTTCCCCTTACCAGAAGGCAAGAAGAATGAAACCCTCAAACCAGGGAACTTCGTGGTTTTCCACAAATGAATAAGCACTGTGACTCCGCAGGGGAGTTGAGGTAGCAGAGGTACACGTTAGAATAAAGACGACAGCCGGTCTGCCCCCAAGATGTGAAACAGCTGCTGGCTGCCACCGGTCAAGCCCAAGGTCAACAGAAGGCCCTTCCGCAAGGCACCTGGTAACCACCTGTGTGCCCCCTTCTCCTCCCTCCCTGCCCACTTGCAGCTCCCGGATCCTCAAAAGCTGTGCTGTTCCCGCACAGCCGCTTGGTTTGGAGCCCACCAAGGCACACATTTGGGCTTTGGGGACTGGTGTTTGCCGCTCACCGACTGCCCACACCACTCGCTGTAGAGCCCAGCCCCTCTTCCCAGGCACCTGCCTTCAAGCACCCCAGGGCACACTCCTTGTTAAGCAGCGTTACGTGAGCACCTCTCCAGGCATTACTGCATTGCCCAGCAGTTTGGAAACCCCAAACTGGACACGGAGTGCTTCACTGATTTTAAAAATCAATGATAGCAAGACCGCAGGTGCCAGACCACAGAGCTATGGTGATCCCCAGCTGAGGTGTGGGAACCAGGCAAGAGCCAACCTGAGACAGGAGGCCGAGCGTGCGCAAGCAGGTGGAGAGGTCGGGGGTGAGCTGCAGCCGGGCGGCCAGGTAACACCACGTGAGCTGCATTCCGGGTCTCCTGGGGCAGTTCTGTTTGGTGTTTTGTTTGAGGAATGATTCTATCTGACTTGTTTTTAGAAAGACAGCCCTTAACTGCCCGGTGCCAAACAGATGGAGAATAACCTATCAGTCCAGACAAGTGATTAGAGCAGCTTTGGCCAGAGCGGAGGTTATAAATAGAGAAGTGGATATGTGAGAAAGGTGCTTTGGTGTTTTGTTTTGGTTGTGTGTGTGTGTGTGTGTGTGTGGTTCAAAACATGGTCATTTCCAATGCAACAGCATTGGGTAACAGGTGCTCTTGTTCTTGCAAGTTTAGAAATGACCGCAAATGATATGAGAACGCTACACATGAGGTTAGAAAGTGGGAACCTGCTGTGGTGGTGGTGGGGGGGTGGTCAAATTAGCCTGCAGGCATTTTGTTATGCTTGCAAAGAGTCTTAAACAAACAAACAAAAACAAGTTAACTTGGTAACTAAAAACCAGGACTTTTGACTCCTGTGGGAGAGACCCTGCCAGATCTGGCAACCACGGGGCCCCTACGTCCAAGGGGCAGTGACTGCCGGGGCCCCAGACCCAGCACTCTGTACCCATGTATACCACCTGCTCCTGGAGGCTGGGACCACCGAAGAATGCCACAAACCCCTGCTCAAAGTATCTCAATTCAGACCTCGAAATAGAGTCATGTTCCCCGCTGCACACGCAGCCCACCGATACACCTGTGCTAGGAACCAAAACCTTGCAGGCCCGCACAAACACAAGGCAGACCCCTGCTGAGTCCACCCGCGGGGAGCGGCGGCGGGGGCTGGGGGCTGGTGCTGGCTCACCGTGCACCCCAGGGATCCCCACAAACACTGTCAGGCCCCACAACACAGCCTGTGCCCCACAGGGCAGGCGCGCCAAGGCCATCCACAGGCTCTCAAATTCTCCATCTGACAGCTTTCTCGTCCACTAGCGACAGGCGCCCCTCAGTCAAGGGATACAACGGAACGCCGAGGTGGGCTGCAGGTGCGCGCGCGTGCGCACGCACGCTTCTCTCGCCTCTGACTTGGGGAGGAGGGGGCTATGAAACCGCCCGCGCCCATGCAGCCTCCACCCCAACTCCCCTCATCTCCACCCCTCTGCCCTTCTACGATCCAAAAACCACCAACTTCCAATCCATGTTAAGCTTCCGGGATAATATTAAAAAAAAAAAAAAAAAAAAAGGCTTTGCAAAGTTTGGGAGCTAGATATTCTCCCCCGCCCCAAACCCCACTACCAGCACCAGCCGAAGCCCCCGGCTTGCAATGTCCTCTTCAGGGTCTGTCCAGCCTGCGCCGTGGCCTCGGACGGAACCCACCCCCCTGGGGCCTCGCTCGCGGGGAAGACCACCGTGGGCTTCGGGGGCGCGCGCACGCACGCACACGCTCCGCACCCACCCAGGGCCGACTCCTGGGCACCTGCGTCCCGCGGGGCGCCCCGGAGGCGGGTCGGGGGTCTCCGCGGCTCACCCACCTGCAGACGCACGTTAAGCATCATGGAAGCCACGATGTAGAGGTAGGGGAAGTTGATGCGCAGCCGCCAGGCCAGGTCGAAGAAGATGAGCAGCGTGCGGGTCAGCCCCTTGCAGAAGACCCCATAGGAGCGGGCGGCGGCCGAGCGCGACAGCCGGACAGCCAGGCCCGACAGAGCCGCCGCCATATAGAGACCGGCGCTCCCACTGCCCGCCCGCCCGCCCTCCCTCCCTGTCCGCGCCGCGTCGCCCTGGGCCTCCGCCCCGGCCGCTGGCCCGCGCTCGGCGCGCTCAGGGAGCGAGGGAGGCGGCGGCGAGGCCGGCGGGCGGGCGGGCCGCGGGGCAGCGGAGTCCGCGCCTCGCGCTCAGGGAATCGCCTCCGCGAGCCGCCGCCTGGTCCCAGCCCGGCCGCGCGGCCTGACGTCACAAAGCCCGCCCCGCGCCTGCGCGGCCCCTAGGCCCCGCCCCCGGGTCCCGCCTCCTTCCCCCCACCAGCTGATGAGGCGCGCATGCGTGGAGAGCGGGCCCGGGTTGTGGGGGGACAGGGAGGAGTGAGGCAGGTGCGTTGTCTCCGCCCGCCCCCTAGTGGTTGAACCTGAAAATGAAAACTACGGGAGAACGAGGAAGGAAGGTGTCAGGGCTTCGAGGGGGAAGATGGCGGCGCGCTTGGATTGGCGGAGCCGCGCGCTGGGCGTGGTGCCGGTGACCAACGGCCTGGTAACGTGTATTTCACCGCAGTGAAAACGAAGGGAAGCTTTTGGGGGCCAAATGGTGGGACATTTTCCCCCGTGTGAATTGCTGTGGTCTCCAGCCATTCCTCACCAGCATCCGAATAATTGTCTTTTTTTTTTTTTTGACAGGCAGAGTGGACAGTGAGAGAGAGAGACAGAGAGAAAGGTCTTCCTTTGCCGTTGGTTCACCCTCCAATGGCCGCTGGGGCCGGTGCACCGCGCTGATCCGAAGGCAGGAGCCAGGTGCTTCTCCTGGTCTCCCATGGGGTGCAGGGCCCAAGCACTTGGGCCATCCTCCACTGCCTTCCCTGGCCACAGCAAAGAGCTGGACTGGAAGAGGGGCAACCGGGACAGAATCCAGCGCCCCGACCGGGACTAGAACCCGGTGTGCCGGCGCCGCAAGGCGGAGGATTAGCCTAGTGAGCCGCGGCGCCGGCCTGAATAATTGTCATTTAATCTTAATTATGACAGCGTTCATGCAAGCCCCTGGTGTCAAAAGTAAAAATACTTGAACTGCCAAGACGTGTAGAGTTCTCTGGGATTTTTATTTTATTTCTTTATTTTTTATTTTAATAACGACTTTTAAAGATTTGCCATGATGATTTGGGGAGTGAACAAGCATAAGGAAGAACTTTGTCTGTCTCTCTCACTGTCTGTAACTCTACCTCTCAAATAAATAAATAAAATCTTTTTTTAAAAAATTGCCATGATGGAGAAGACAGGTACCTTCCTGTAGCTGCTGACTTCTGCCCGCCCATGAGAAAAGCCAGGAGCCTGGTCCAGGTGGTGATGGAGGGAAATGCAAGCCTCGAATCCTTGGAGAAAGCCACGGTGGAAAGTCTCTGTGTAAAAGCAGATCTGTTGGGTCCCGTGCTGTAGTGGAGAAAGCCATTGCCTGCAGTGGTGGCATCCCATGTGGGCACGGGTTCTAGTCCTGGCTGCTCCACTTCCGATCCAGCTCTCTGCTGTAGCCTGGGAAAACAGTAGATGGCCCAAGTCCTTGGGCCCCTGCACCTGTGGGAGACCAGGAAGAAGCTCCTGGCTCCTGGCTTCCGATCAGCATAGCTCCAGTCATTGCAGCCATTTGGGGAGTGAACCAGCAGATGGAAGACCTCTCTCTCTCTCTCTCTCTCTCTCTCTCTCTCCCCCTCTGCCTCTCTGTAACTGCCTTTCAAATAAATAAATAAATCTTTTTTTTTTAAAGTGGATTTGTTTCATGAGGAAGTCCCTGGCCCCTGAGTGGGTTTGCAGTAATGATCATTTTTAACCCTCATTTTCAGATCCTTTTCACAAATCTTCTGTCTATAACCCAAAGAGGGAGATTATAAACAATAGAGGGAATTTATGGCACTTTTCTTCAAATGCCTACTGCATTCCCTTACATATTTATTTTCATCTATGAGAGAGAGAGAGAAAAAAAGAATCTTCCATCCACTGGTTCCCTCTCCAAATGGCCACAGCGGCCAGGGCTGGACCAGGCTGAAGCCAGGAGCCAGGAGCTCCATCCCCACCTCCTTCTTGAGTGCTGGGGCCCCAAGCACCTGAGAGTCAGCTGCTGCCTCCCAGGATGCATCAGCAGCAATCCGGATCAGCTGAGACTCCAAAGCATCCAACGCTGGGCCAGCGCTGTGGCACAGCAGGTTAACGCCCTGGCCTGAAGCGTCGGCATCCCATACGACCACCGGTTCTAGTCCCTGCTGCTCCACTTCCGATCCAGCTCCTTGCTATGGCCTGGGAAAGCAGTGAAAGATGGCCCAAGTCCTTGGTACCCTGCACCCGCATGGGAGACTCAGAAGAAGCTCCTGGCTTCGGATTGGCACAGCTTTGGCTGCTGTAGCCATCTGGGGAGTGAACCAGCAGATGGAGGACCTCTCTCCATAACTCTTTCAAATAAATAAAATAAATCTTTTAAAAAAATAAAAAAGCATCCAGTGCAGAAGGTTAATCTGCTGTGCCACAAAGCCCACCTGAGAGCCATGGGTGGATGCTCAGGGATACCATATATGCAAGATCATATTAAATAGATACTTCAAGGCCGGTGCCGCGGCTCACTAGGCTAATCCTCCGCCTTGCGGCGCCGGCACACCAGGTTCTAGTCCCAGTCGGGGCGCCGGATTCTGTCCCGGTTGCCCCTCTTCCAGGCCAGCTCTCTGCTGTGGCCAGGGAAGTACAGTGGAGGATGGCCCAAGTACTTGGGCCCAGCACCCCATGGGAGACCAGGATAAGTACCTGGCTCCTGCCATCGGATCAGCACGGTGCACTGGCCGTAGCACACCAGCGGTGGTGGCCATTGGAGGGTGAACCAACGGCAAAAGGAAGACCTTTCTCTCTGTCTCTCTCTCTCTCACTGTCCACTCTGCCTGTCAAAAAAAATAATAATAATAGATACTTCAGGGTTCTTAGCTTGTGACTACCTTTGTTATCAAAATAAGATATTTCAAAAAATGTTCACAAATCTTTCGTTTCTCTTATTCTTGCAGAATTATATTTTTGCCACATTTATCATTGACATTAAAAAGCTCACTTCCTTTTTTGTAAGCTATTTTTTCCTTTGAATGCCCATTGGATGCTATCTTTGAGCACGGCAGAACACACGCTGCTGAGTTACCATTGTTTTTCAAGCTCTCTCCCCAAAAACAGCAAAATGAAGACATCTATGCTGTGTTTGGGAAACTAGCTGATGAAGATTTTAACGACGAGAGTTTCCTATGTAAAATTTGCCAGACAATACAAAAGCAATCAGATAAACAGATTCGGAGGTCGGCTAAATTTATTCTTAGGCCTGTAATGATTTTCACTGGTGGAAAACTGACTGTCCTACTTATTTGATCAGTGTTAGAAGACCATTTGGGCCGGCGCCGTGGCTCAATAGGCTAATCCTCCACCTTGCGGCGCCGGCACACCGGGTTCTAGTCCCGGTCGGGGCGCTGGATTCTGTCCCAGTTGCCCCTCTTCCAGGCCAGCTCTCTGCTATGGCCAGGGAGTGCAGTGGAGGATGGCCCAGGTGCTTGGGCCCTGCACCCCATGGGAGACCAGGAAAAGCACCTGGATCCTGGCTCCTGCCATCGGATCAGTGCGGTGCGCCGGCTGCAGCGGCGGCCATTGGAGGGTGAACCAACGGCAAAGGAAGACCTTTCTCTCTCACGGTCCACTCTGTCTGTAAAAAAAAAAAAAAAAAAAAAAAAGACCATTTGGGCTGTAGTAATGTTATACACACACAGACACACACAAAGGTACTTTGTGCGTGAAAAATCGAATTAAAAGATGATTCATTTTGGTACAAACATCTTTGAAAACCATGCATAGTTTTTTCATCAAATGCTTTCTCAAGAAGACCTTTATATGTATAAATTTCAATTTCTTTGCAACACTAGAAATGATCTCTTAATGCTATTTTCCATGAATTTTTATTAATGTTGTTGTACTGTGTTGACTGTTTTAAAAACAGTTTATTCGGGCCGGCGCCGTGGCTCACTAGGCTAATCCTCCACCTAGCGGCGCCGGCACACCGGGTTCTAGTCCCGGTCGGGGCGCCGTATTCTGTCCCGGTTGCCCCTCTTCCAGGCCAGCTCTCTGCTGTGGCCAGGGAGTGCAGTGGAGGATGGCCCAGGTGCTTGGGCCCTGCACCCCATGGGAGACCAGGAAAAGCACCTGGCTCCTGGCTCCTGCCATCGGATCAGCGTGGTGCACCGGCCGCAGCGCGCCGGCCGCGGCGGCCATTGGAGGGTGAACCAACGGCAAAAGGAAGACCTTTCTCTCTGTCTCTCTCTCTCACTGTCCACTCTGCCTGTCAAAAAAAAAATAAAAAAAATTTAAAAAAAAACAGTTTATTCGAAAGACACAGAGGGGGAGAGACAGAGATCTTCCACCTGTTGGTTCATTCCCCATCTGGCTGTAATGGTCAGGCCTGGGCCAGACCAAAGCCGGGAGCCAGGAACTGCATCCAAGTCTCCCACATGGGTGGCGGGGGCTCAAGTGCTTGGTCCCTGGATGCCGGCATTGCAAGTGCTGACGGAACCCATTGCACCACAGTGCTTGCCCCTTTCCCCACAAACCTATGTATGTGCCCTCGAACATACATATGCTCCCCTGGTTGTTCATTTCTCTGTTTCTAAATGCCACGGAGGCATTTTAATAAGCCATTCAGTTGCCATAAACAACAGCAAACAAAATGACCGCAGAGTTAAACTGAGCTAAGGAGCCGGTTGCAGTGAGACATAATGAAAGGTGGAAGAGAACCCGAAAGAATGCTAACTCGAGTCGGGGTGTAATAAACGTCAGGGTTAACTACTTCCAAGCTGCAATGCTGGCTGCAAAATCCGTCTAGGTTCATGAGCTAGGATTCAACTCAGCCCAATTCACTGAGCAGCCCTAGGGAAGATGTTCTGCTAAGAATAACTTCAGAAACAGATGCAGATGGACCAAATAATAAGTGTGAGAAGTATTTTCCTTGAGGCACAGAGGGTTACAAGGAGGGATAAATAGAAAAATACTGTTCTTGGGGCTGCTGTTGTGTGGCAGGTTAAGCTGCCACTTCATCTCCTAATCCTGGTATCCCATATGAGCATCGGTTCGCGTTCTGGCTGCTCTACTTCTGATCCAGCTCCCTGCTAATGCACGCGAGAAAGCAGAGGAAGATGGACAAGTGCTTGAGGAGAAGGTGGGGGAGGGGGAGGAGGAG